CAATCGTAAATCACCAGTCAAATTCATATTGTTTTGTAGGTCGGCGAACGACTACATCATACTATTTTATAAGATCTCGAATAGAAGATATAAAACACTTATGCAATATGTCATAGATCATGTGGGAGACATTCAAATATGTCATAGATCCATCTTCAACATGCCCCTTTTAATAAGTATTAAAGAGATTCGAAAAACAAATGTTCATTTTTCGAAGAAAAAATAAAGAGAGACTATTTACCATTGGGTTATTATATATTATCATGAAACAATTTTATTTTAATTTAGAAAAAAAATTGAAAATATTTTACTCATTCTTTTATTTGCTCATCTAATTACATTGTGACACTCACGTTCATCAAGCGTGTAAGCAAAATAGATTCAACAAAATGAGATCCATTGACTTCAAATGTTTAAGAATTATTTATGGTCATGATAATGTTTTTATGTATGAATTCCTTTGTGATAATAATTTTAATTCCTATCTATCTAACATATATTTTTTTAATCTCAATGGATATTTTATATTTTTATAATGAGATAGTTCGCAGCCAATCATATAGTTGCATTAAATAAATCTTCACTCATGAGCAAATCTTACAAACAACACAAGAAATGTAAATTTTACTAGACACAAGAGATATGTGACTAGTTCGACCTGAAAATATTGGCAAATTTTATTTTAAACTCGGATATATAACATTGCACTCTTTTTCTTCAGCAACAAATATTTTATATCAATATTTTAAATAGCAATATTGAATTGACCATCGTTATAAAGTTCTTATATAACCTTGGTTATTAGGTTGAAATCTAAATTTAAAATCATTTTTTTTCCATTTGTATTTGTAGCATGTTTTGAATTTTCATAATTATAATAATAAACAAAAAAAGAATAATAATAATAATAGTTAGAGGGATTAAAATTTAAAATAAAATCACAATTTAAGGGGAATACGTTGTCGGTGTACATGTTATAAGAGCAACAGGGGCAATTATTTGTTGATGGACAAAATAATTTTATAATTACTATAAGAAATCTATTGTGTTAAATTAAATATAGAGTTGACCTGGTTACATTATGATAAAGTCAACCCTTCCATTGCACTTGAAAATTGGGTTAACATGGTAGACTTGTACTCAGCATCGTTTTTCTGAAATTTCAAAAAGGATATATTATTTTTTTCTCACTTTGTACCGAAAACTAATTAATTAATTAAATATAATCAATAAAAAATAGTATGACACCACTAGTTTTTTGAGTAATCATTATTAAAAATATTAAAATAATCTCGCATAAAACCTACTTATTTGCAAAATGGTACCAAGTCAAATTAGAAGAATATCATAGACCATCAATGATAAAAATACCACTCAAATTCTAATTTATTCTAATTACATTCCTTAAATCCCAATTCAATTTTAATTTCACCAATTAAGGGATTTTGATTGTTGTTAACCATAGGTCAACAATGTTGACTTTTTTTAATTTTCTTGTCCTCCTTACTGCAATGTTGTTGTGTTGACGGTAAAATGAACAATATTTTCTTTTATCGGTGATGATATTATATGAATCGATAATAATACTGTGTTGACCGGTGAACACGAATATTGAAAATAAAAGTAGCAAATGCCAATTCGTATTGTGATCCCCACTTAGAGATTGATTGGAACTTGGTTCTTTGTTTTATTCACTCTATTCTTTTCCCCTTTCATTGTCAAACTCCAACATCCCCACTATTATTTTACACTATAGTTTCATTATTTTTTGTCTATTTAAATAAACTATATTATATATCTTGTGGTGGTGGTGAAAGAGAATTATAATATGATTTCTTATCTTTATTGAAGTCCAAAAAGGAAACCAATATAAAACGTATAAGAAAGTGACTGTTATTTTTTTAAGTTAAATTATACCTACGCCCCTGAGATATGCTAAAATAATTTGAAGATCCTTATAGTATTAGTAATTATAGCCACACCCACGAAACAATTACTGGAGTCAAGATTTCATGTCGTGAGGACCGATATGCATTATATTTGTTTCCCGCAGAACTGTTAATGCTGCCATATACGAAAATTTATAGATCATTATCTAAAATAATAAGGATTTAAGAAATGTTATGAGAGTCATGTCACCCCATAACTCTATGTTGTCTCCACCACTGTTTGAAACTAATAGTTCGTTACAATCCTCACAGAATAACTTATCCAATGTATTATTCCGTTAGGGTTTCTAGCAATGTTCAGGAGTGATTGTAATTACTGATATTATATGGGTCTTAAAGTTATTTTAGCATACCTTCGGGATGTATGTGTAATTTACCATTTTTTATATATATACTCGCCACTATGTCATATTTTATTGTAGTTTATGAATTTATTTCTAAACTTTTAATCATTTAATTGAAAATTTCTTCTTGGGTGCAAACAATGCCAATATCACCTAGATATATGAAAAATCACGTGTTTATAAATGATCGAAAATATCAATCATTTTATAATATATTTATTACATGAGACATTTTGACTGAAAATACCTAAAAATAGAATTACATCGGGTGATTCGTATTTAATCAAATCCGCTACCATATTTAAAGTCTTCCATTAAATGTTACTATTTGTTGAATTAGTAGCGCCCATTCTCACCGCATTTAAGTTTATATGGGGTGATTAAAAAGGAAGAAAAAAATTATCCTTAAAACCATATCTTTATTTTTTTTTAATTAAAAGACTTTTTTAGACATTTCATATTTAATATCAAGAATTTAATACAAGTAAATCAAGAATTTCATATTGAAGCTTATGAATCAAATATGTTATTAATTAAATAATTATTTAATCAGTGGGATATTAATTCATTATCACCTAATCCAATGTAATCTGACTTAGGCAAGTAAACGAGACCTAAGTGAATGTGTAAATGATTATCTTATTCGTAAATTGTTTTTTCGTCATTTTTTAATTACTCAAAATTAAAAATAAGAAATTGAGTCATTTCATCAAAATACTCATACATACTATTTTCATTTCAGTAAAGTCAAATTGCACTTGCTATACTCTCGTATAATAGCTTGTAAATCATATGAGAGGTCCACACTATGCTAATTATGTGAGACAAACTTGACCTAGCGACCGTTGACAATGAAATTCAAAACTCGGTCAATTGACACAGATTTACTTTCTTCAACCGCTAGATAAACCTTGTGGTACCTCCACTTGTTTATATTGAATTCATAAATGGAATAACATAATTATATTGGTTCTTCATATATATATTTTATATTTATATAAAAAGCCACGATAGGGGCACTTTTGTCATAATGAAATTCGTAACACGTCCAAAATTAAAACAAGAATTTGCATACTACCAAAAGTCGCTCTTGCTTGTCCATGTGAATTGCACTATCTCAAGAGTGTGACATCGACTTCAACCACTAATACATGTTATTTATACATAAGTGGGGTTAATATAATAAATGGCAAATTACGGCAACCTCTGAGATATATTAAAATTATGAGAAGAATCTCTCGTGTTCTGATAATTACAACAACATCTTTTAACTATATATTTTTTACATATCTATTTTTAAAGTGTCAAATTTACTTACTGAATAAGGGACTTTTTTCGTAAAACAGTACATAATTAAAGGAGTAGTTGTAATTATCTAAACATAATGAACTTTTCCATAATTTAAGCTTATCTCGAAGAGCCGTAATTTGCCCTTTAATAAAATATCGGGCATTGGTTATTCAATCAGAAGCCGTAATTTTCATTTCACATTCTCGAATTTTAAATTAATCACAAGCTAATCAAATTTGATTTTTCCTTTCGATCAATACATATACATGTCACATTCTTCAATTTTAATATATCACACTATAATAAGATTGGTACTTGATATATGATCATTTTAATTAATTTCAATATACTTTGCAAAAAAATAAAATATCAATTCATATACGTGTTTTTATTTTCTATTGAATATATATCTTTTCAATTATATTTTCTTCTCGATAATACATTTCATTGAAAATATCAACTAATTTCAGTATACCTTGCAAAAAAAAAAAAGTTGGTTTAAAAATAATATGTTTAGAAATAAATGTAAAAAATAATCTTTTTGTAACATATAATATTCTAACTTCTAATAATGAAAATATTATCTTATTTTAAGAAGAAAATAGTTTCCCATTTTCATAGGATATTTTTTTCCATTGGAGCATTTATTAATTATTAATTTTGAGAGTGATATAAATAGAACACATTTTATAAGACACGTTAATAATGATAAAAACGTGTGTACTTTATAGTCTTTTCTATGATTTTCGTTGGAACCGTTGTACTATTGATTGGGGCAAGCGAGTTTATCAAATTTGAATCCACTTGCCAACAGTTGTTCGGTTGAATTTATCATGCATGAGTAACTTAATGTGGTTTATATCTTCCGTATGGTTCCCTAACTATAATATAAGAGTATAAGTTTATTCAATACACCTATATAGTTGGTTGTACTTAAATATGTCGATTATGGACGATTTCCATTCAAAACTCAAATCAAAATCAATTATAAATCAATTTCCATTTTGTTTTAGACATATAATTAAATAAATAAAAACATATTTTAAATATTGACGGGGAAAAAATTAGTTTTCATTCCTCAAATTCGCACTGATTTCACATTTGGTCCTCTCATGTTCACAAAACAAAACATTCCATCATGTTCCAATATTTAACATTTTTAGTTATTTCTGTCAATTCACCGTTAGTATGTTAGTTAGGGAACTTACAGTCACACGCTTGATTCCGTTAGTTTTAACAGAAAATTGACAAAAATGACTAAAAATGTTGAATTTTTGAAACATAAGGGACCAAATGTGTTTTTAGTGAACATAGGGACCAAATGTGAAATTGGTGCACATTTGAGGGGTGAAAACTGTAATTTTCCTAATATTGACATAACACATGAAAATTCGATTAGAAACACAGCTGGGCGTGAAAGATGCAGCCAAAAATCCATTCTCCATATTAGCTCAGCTAATCTGAACATTTAGCTCCAATAAGTAATAACATATCAACTCAACAACAAAAACAATCTCATCTTCTCACTCTAAAAACTCTCTCTCTCTCTCTAAAAACTCTCTCTCATACTTGTTTTTTTTTTTCTTTTCCCATCCAGAAATAATCGCCGGTGACTTTTCAATCTGCAGAAAGGGGGCTTCTAAAGTTCTTGATCTGCACACACACCAAAAAAACACGCACAACACACACTATACTGTGTGTGTTCATCTTTCCTCTTTTTTCATTGGTGGAAAAAAAATAAAGTGTTGAGAATTGAGAAATGATGGGTGTGAATGTGATGAGTAGCCGGTGTTCCCACACTTCCCATATCACCGAAATCATAATCACAAGCTTCTTTCGCCATAAATTTGAGTCTTAATTTTTCTTTCTTACAACACCTCTCTCGCTATCGATTCGGGTGAAAGGAAAAAAATTGGAAGGGGGCAAGTGAGATTTAATTTTGTAATACCTGCAAAAAAATAAAATAAACAAGAGGTCGTAAAAAAAATGGCGGATTCTTGAAATAATATTAGTATTTTTAATTTGTGTAGCTTTTGAGTGAGAAACTATTCCGATTATGGGGAAACGGGGGATGGTCGGCGGCGCCGGCCGCGGCGGTGGCGGTGATGATGAAAATCAGAAAGTCAAGGTTTCTTCCGGCGAACGGCCTCTTGAATCTGTGTTTGCTTCTGCTCCGGCGAAGTGTTATCTTGGTATGTGATGGTTGACTTTTTTTTTTTCCCCTTTAATTTGTACAAAATCTGATTGAGCAATTCCTTTCTGCAGATCAAAGGGTTTGTATGCATAGATCATAAAAAAAATATTCTAAACTTTACTTTAATTTTTAATTTTTTTATATATTATTTTTGAATTACGGCCACCCGTGAGGTAAGGTCAAATTACTAAAAAATCTCTCATGTTTGGGTAATTATAACCAACCCCTCAACTAATGAATCTTCTTAGACGTCCACCGTTGCAGCGTTAAATTTAGTGGAATCTTCCAGATTATGTGAAATATTCTCTAGTTTGTACCCGTTTTACCCCATTTGAGCTCCAGATTTTGAAACAAGATGATCGATCATAAGATGTGTCTTTTGGCTTGTAAATATCAGATTGTGATGCATTAGAAACTGCATTTTTTCACAAATCGAGTACAAATTAGACAACATTCCACGAAATCTAGAAGATAGTTGAATTTAACACCATAAGGGTGGACATGTAAGAAGATTCATAATTGATGGGTTTGGTTGTTATTACCCAAACATGAGGCGTTTTTTCGTAATTTAACCTTACCTCGGGCGTGACCGTAATTTACCCTTTTGTTTTTTACAACATATTTTGATTCTAAATTGGCCCATAATTCGGTGGTGATGATCTCTGTTTTGATTGATAATCATGTAATATGTATATATGTATTTGGATGTAAGGATTTGAGCTAATGATTTTCGAATCTATAATCGACTATTCATAGTTATTTTTCTTGTGTGTATATATCAGCTTCAGGCTCGAGGACAATGCTGAGTTTCGGGGTAAACAAATCAGGAAACTCGTTATTCCAATCTTTCGATCAAGAAGAGAATATTGGAGGTGAATACTTGGACGAGTATTTCGGTCAACCGGAGAAAAAGAGGCGTCTTTCGGTGGAGCAAGTAGAATTTCTCGAGAGGAGTTTCGAGGCGGATAATAAACTCGAACCGGAGAGGAGGGTCCAGCTGGCGAAGGAGCTTGGCTTACAGCCTCGTCAAATTGCGATATGGTTCCAAAACCGCCGGGCCCGATGGAAGACGAGGCGGGTCGAAACGGATTACGAGACATTGCACGCTAGCTTTAAGAGCTTGAAAAGTGACTACGATAATCTTCTCCTGGAGAACGAGATGCTCAAAACCGAGGTAATTCATCTATCAATCTTGAAAATGTTTATTAGGTGGTCTTAATACTCATACTAACTAACTTCTGCTTATCTTAAACCAAATACAAACACCGCCTTAGTGACATAGCATTTTGACGATATAAAAATTATCGCCAAAATGCCTATATTCACTGAAAATGCTTTATGTTTGTTTATGTCGCTAACACTTCCTTGTTGTCGTCACTACTTCAATTTCTTTGTTGTCTCTGCAATTAATTAGTGATATAGCTATATACTAACAACAAAAAAGTAATCGTGTGATTTCCTATTTCCGACCAGGTACTTCGTCTGAAAGAGAATGGTCTTGACAACGGCACGGAGAAATCAAATTTAAAATTCTCCGACACTAAAGAAATCTCCCAAGCTATTCCGAGAGAAGCCATCGATGATTTGATTTCCGAAGACGATGAAGCGAAAGTGTCTTTTAAGAACGAAGAACAAAGCTCGGCAAAGAGCGATTCGACCAATGAAGAGAGTCCCCTTTTGACCAATGGGGTTAGCTCATTTCATGATTTCATCGAACCCGATCACTCGGATATATCGCAGAACGGTGAAGATGAATTGAAGGAGGAGTTTTTTCAGCTCGATTATATGTTTCCTAGGATTGAAGACGCTCGTTATTATGGATTTCCAGTAGAAGAAGATCATGCTTTCGATTTCTGGTGATATATTTCTTTATTCCTAAGGTATTATAATATAATTAGTAATAAATGCCCGACTAAACCAATACAAAAGAGCGTAAATATGGCGGTCTTGTTCTAGCCGAACGGTTTGTTGTTCCTTCTTTCTTGTGTTTTTCGAGGACAAAAAATCGGAAGTTCAACCCTTGCCGACTAAAATCGAAGAAGAAGAAGAAAGACTGAGATATTGAGTTTGAATCTCATCATGTGTGTAGGTATTAAGTCTACTTCTAAATAAGTTGTTTATTTGTATTTTATTGTTTGATGATTTTGGATTTGCTTTTAGTAATTGACATTGTTAATGTTATGTTGTGATGTATTATTCATTCCTTTGAAGGATTCATGTTTTGTGAATTCTTTCATGTTTTTAGAACAAGTCCTTCAATTTTTAAATATAATATCCTTTAATAAATGAAGGGTGGAAGTTGAATACAACGGCCAATTATATAGGTATACTGGACAAACGCTTACACTCTTGTGCAAAAACCTACAAATCACACACGAGATGTAAACGATACTAGGCAAATTAAAAAGTCATATATAACAAACTCGACCTAAAAAGTGTGACAAAAATATTCCAACTCGGGACATCGACATCTCGCTCTTTTCCCCTACCAATATGTATTTTATACCAGTATTTCAAATAGCAATATTGAGTTGACCATCGTTATAAAGTTGATATCTAACCTTGATTATTAGGAGGAAATCTAAATTCCAAATCATGTTTTCCCTTATTTTTCCATTTGTAAGATGATTTGAATTTTCATAATAATTAATAGAGAATATGGTAGATTACAGTCACCTCCGATGTAAGGTTAAATTATAATATATTTAGATAATTAGAACTACCCATCAACTATGAATCTTCTTACCTGTTCACTCTTATTGTGTCAAATTCAACATCTTCTACATTCTGGAAATGTTCTTTAGTTTGTACTCATTTTATGAAAAATACAGTTTCTGATGCACCCCAATCTGATATTTACAAGCCAATAGACACATTTACGATCATCTAGTTTCAAAATATAGAGCTCGAATGGGATAAAACATGTACAAACTAGAGAATATTCCATTATATTTGACACCGCAAGGGTGGACGTATAAGAAGATTCATAGTTAGGAGGGGGTTGTAATCATCCAAATATGAAACATTTTTTCGAAATTTAATATTATCTACAGGATCCCTGTAAATCTCCCCATTATATATGTGTATAGATTTATAATGCAAAATTAAGAAAAAATATTTCCCCAAAGGTGTG